TTTGTTGACTGTTTCCTTTGCTGTGCAGAAGCTTTTGATCTTGATGAAGTCCCAAAAGTTCATCTTCGCTTTTGTTTCCTTTGCCTTTGGAGACATATCTTGAAAGAAGTTGCTGTGGCTGATATCGAAGAGGTTATTGCCTATGTTCTCCTCTAGGATTCTGATGGATTCCTGTCTCACGTTGAGGTCTTTTATCCATTTTGAGTTTATCTTTGGGTACGGTGTAAGAGAATGGTCGAGTTTCATTCTTCTACATATAGCTGTCCAATTTTCCCAGCACCATTTATTAAAGAGACTGTCTTTTTTCCACTGTATATTTTTTCCTGCTTTGTCGAAGACTATTTGACCATAGAGTTGAGGGGCCATATCTGGGTTCTCTACTCTGTTCCACTATGTCTCTGTTTAAAATACATTTTCTTATATTTTATCTAATATAACTGAGGTTATTACTTGGGTTATTTTACTGAGGTCTGAATGTTTGTGTCCCTCTGTGTGGAGGTGTGGCTTTTGGGAGTTGATTAGGTCACAGAGGTAGAACACTCATGAATGGCATTAGTGCCCTTATAAGAATAAGAAAAGACCCCAAAGAGCTCCCTCACCCCTTCGGTCACATGAGGACACAGTGAGAAGACAGCCTTCATTAGACATCAGATCTGTGGGTGCTTCAATCTTAGACTTCCAGCCTCCAGAATTGTAAGAAATAAATCTCTGTGCTTTATAAGCTAGCCAGCTTATGTTCTACCATGGTAGCTCCAATGGATAAGGCATATCTGGTCCGCCGTCTTGCCGGGATCCCAAGTTCCCCAGAGTAATCTTGCCAAACACTCACGACTACATACAAAGGTTTTCCCTTTGCCCTTAGGTTAAAGTCCCGAATCTTCACGTGGGACCCACCCTTGTCTCCCCGCTCTCCTCTAGCCTTCTCATTCTTCCTGCTTCCCTAAATGCCCATGGTCCTTTCTCATCTCCAGTTTCTCAACTTGCTCTTCCCTCCATATCTGGCTCTAACCTGCAGGTGCTCCTGCACCTGGCCCTTCACCTGGTTAAGGCTGCTCATTTCATAGGTCTTATCTGAATGTCATCTTCAGGAGAACTATGCATGTCCCCCAAAACTGACATGGCTCCTATTTCTTCTGTTACTACAGACTTGCTCCACACCCTGGGCCTTTCTCTGAGCACTTACACAAATGATTATTTAACAGTAATTTGGAAATAGTGTGGTTAGTGTCTTAACGTGTATCTGTGATAAGTCTATGATAATCTGTGATTTAAAGTCTGTCTCACTCACCAGACTCCAAACCCCAGGAGGGCAGGGGCGTCTCCTTCTTTCCTGGACTGCCAAGCCTGGCACTTTGAACACTGGCAACACATTGGATGTGTTTGTGCACAAGGGAATAAATGAACTACAAAGCTGAGCGGGTCTTTTCTTGCATAAAACCTTTCCTCTGCATCACCCTCCACAGGATCCAGCCTGGGACACTCGACATGGTGTGTAGATCAAAGCTTCACTGAGACATAATTCACATACCCTAAAGGGAAATTCAGTACATCCAGTGTTTTTTAGTGAATTTACCAAGTTGTGCAACCATCACCCTTATTTATTTTTGGAATATTGTCATCACCCCAAAAGGAGCTGTGTACCCACCAGCAATCATTCCCCATTCTCCAGCTCCCACCAGCCCACTTTCTTTTCTTACGGATTCACCAGTTCTGGACATTTCACATAAATGGAATCATACAATATATGCTTTTATGAGTGTCTGGGTGTTTGATGTTTGTTTGTTTGTTTGTTTCCGCTTAGTATAATGTTTTCAAAGTTCATCCATGTTGGATCATCTCATTTCTTTTTATGGCTAAAGAATAGTTCTCTGTGTGGATGTAAGACATTTTGTCTGTCCAGTCATCGGTGGACGGACATTTGGATCATTTCCATTTTGGGGTTATTCTGATTCGTGTTGCTACGGGCAGTAGGCAGCTATGCACGTGATCCGGACCCGCCACCCGACTGCTTGCTCCCCTCTACCCTCTTTCAGAGATGTTGACGGTGCGCGGCGCGCTGGACAGCCACACCCACACGCTCTCTTCAGATAACACGAAAAAGCCGATCACTGCGAGAAGGTGGAGTGTATGGGGTTCCTCCTGTCTCATTCTGTGAGGTTGTTCGTTGGTGGTGACGGTCTGCCTACTCAGTTACAGCCTTATTCACTGCAGGATGAAGACTTAACAGATGTTTGTAATTAGAGATTAAACCACTAACAAATTAAATGCAAGTTATGAGATCTATATGAATAAAAGAGAATCCAGGAGAGTGTGAAGGAAGTATTTTATACTAGAGAAGTAGATGTGTGTGTACACATAAAATAAATAAATAAATTTATTTGTTTTAACTTATTTTTTTACTGAAAGATCTGTGCTTTCCAGCAGCACTAGAATGTAGACAGCAATCTCTGCAACCAAGTGCTTCTCACACCTGGAACCTTAACACTGTCGTTCCCACTGCTGGAAGGTTGCACTCTGAATTCCTTTCTTTCTTTCTTTCATTATGTTCAGTTAGCCACTATATAATATTTCGTTAATTTTTGATGTAATGTTCAATGATTCATTAGTTACATATAACACCCAGTGCTCGTCACAACATGTGCCCTCCTTAATATCCATCACCCTGTTTCCTTTCTTGACTAACTTCTCTGTGTACTCTAAGATTTTGTCCAGATGCCTCTTCCTCCAGGAAGCCTTCTCTGCTTGCTTTCATGACACCAGACTTTCCCCTGACATGGTGCTTGTGTTTCGGCTTGCCTCCCTGACCAGGTCAGGGCCATGTTATGAAAGGATCATGCATATATATACTGGTATGCAATATGATACATATATACATAGTATATGCACCGTGTGTGTACATACACAATATTGCATTTACTTTGTATATATTTATATATATTTATAAACAGTATTATATATACATTGTATATGTATATATATAATATAGCACATATACACTGTGCACAGATACATATACACAGTGTGTACACAATATGTATTTATCTTACTGATCTTTGTCCCTCCAGAGCCTTACACTATGCTGACACATAGGAGACATTCACTGAGCATGTACTAAGTGTATGAATGACTGGCCCTCTCACTGCACGGTGATGAATGGGGTGGAAACATTATTCATCATCCAAATCAGGTCTGTTGAGAGTAAACATGGTGCTATCTGTGACCTTGCTCAGAAACCCAGGCCTGTCCTGAGGCTGTCCCAGGCAGTTTGAGATGCACAGCACCCTGTGTGATGGGAAGTCCAGAGGGAGAGAGAGATAAGATGGTGTGGGGCTGTTTGTGGTGATGATGGCTGGTGGGAGTCAGATATAGGATGGAGGTTAGCCATGACCCAATAGGTGCTCATAACTCTGAGTACTCTGGCACCCTATAGATCAGAGATAAGCAAACTATTGCCCATGGGCCAAATCCATCATTTGGCACCACACTTGTTTTTTAAATAAAGTTTTATTGAAACACAGCCATACATAGATACATTTGTTTACATATTATCTATGTTTGCTTTCAGAGCATAATAGCAGAGTTGAATTGTGACAGGACCTGGATGGCTTTGGTATTTATTATCTGATCTTTTGCAGGGAAAGATCGCTGGTAATACACACTTCCCTAGAAGGTACAAACCTCTAGAAATACAGAATGTGCTCTTCATATAATACCAGACTGCAGTAGCTGCTCCCAAGGCATTTGGGTGCCAGCAGACTCTGCCAGGGTCTGGCCTTTGCAGGGGACAAAACCCTTTTCATCTACCCTGTTAGACTGGCTTAGGGCTGGGGCCCATGAATCAAACCGATAAGACAGATTAACAGGGGAAAAGGTTTATTAGGTATGCACACAAATGCCTCATAGAAAAGGAACTAAGGACCCGATGAGGCTGTTAGATACAGGGGCTTATGTCCCATTTTAACCAAGGGAGACAAATTGTGGAGAAGTGACAAGGCAAAAGGAAAGGGGTGCAGGCTTCTAAGGGTGGTGACTTATGGTTCGGTGTGGGGGGAAGGAATGGGTTACAAGGCTAATTTCAGCAAGGTTGTTTTGTGCAGGCTTGTCTTGGTGACATTTTCGCCTTTGGTGATAAAGGTTGTCCTTCGCTTCCAGGTAGGAGTGGGGAGGACATCTTACAAGGGAAATTTATGTCCTTCTTTTAGGCAGGTGGGGGGAGGGGGGAGGGTTTCTCCTGCATCTGCTATTTCTTAATTGCCTTCAGCTCAAAATACCCTTTTTTGCCAAAGTGGCATATTTTCAGGTGGCATATTATTATTATTATTTTTTTTCAGGTGGCATATTCTGATCCCCTTCGTCCTATGACTTCCTGGCTCTAAGAGTACCAATGTCTGCTGTGAACTAAGCCGATTACCTGCCCCTCCCTGCCTCCGTTTCTTCCTGGGCCAACCCAGGCAGGAACACCCTCCCTGTCCACCAGGAGGCTGACCAGGAGCAGTCAGGGGAGGCGTTACCAGAAACAGCTTCGTAAGACCTGCCGCACAAATGCACTGGAATGCGGGGGCGGGGCCGGGGCCGGGGGGGGGGGGGTGGGGGGGGGGCGGGGGTGGCGGGGTGGGGTTGAGTGCAGGGAGGGGGCGGTGGCAGGCCTCCCAGAGTTCGGCCCAAATGGATAACTGCTCACTGCACTTAAGAGCCCCCTTGTTCCCACTGAAGATAAAAGGAAAGTTTCCAGGGATCCTTTGTTCATGCAGTGGGTTTGAATTTGCCAATGGCTGAATTTCCCTGCGGGACACAGGTCTAATTGTGAAACGGCTTTGGAGTCAAATGTTCAGTTATTCTTGAAGATTGCGGCGGGATTTGCATTTGAAATGCTTTGCCTGGCTGGGAATGTGAATGCTTGGAGGGGCTGGTTTGAAGAGTTCTGGGCTCTGGGTACACAGTCTCCAGTAATTTTCCGTCCCTGCGATGCCCCTCACCCGGGGCTGGGGAGGACTGTCTCCAGCAGCCTGGACGCACTGGTGGGTCTACAGAGGATTCTGGATTTGGAAACAGGAGAAAGAGAGCCAGGCTAAAAATAACGCTTGGTCGTTAAGTGCACATGGACTATTTGTGAAGAAGTCCGAGTCTTTTGAGGTAAAAATCAATTTATGAAGAAAAACAAAGTTCGCCCCCCAGAAAGTGGCTTGCTCTACTCCCTCTGGGATTCTGTTTGCATGGAAAGCAAACTCCCCAGTAGCGCTTCATGAAGTGTGGGGATTACCATTGGATTTGCATGCTTTTTGTACATTCAATTTCCAGGGACATTTAAATGAATTGCCTGATTAAGCCTTAGTCAATTTATTTTTTTTTAATTTATTTTATTTTTTTTTAAGTCACTATTTTTAAGGTGGAAAACATCTAAGCCTTGACATGGAGTAGTAGCTGATGGCGACAGGTGATCCTTTCGCCTGTAACCATGGGTATTGATTTCTCCCATGAAAGGAAAATTAAAATGGATATTATAGATGTTTCAAAACTATGTATGAGAAAGTATTTGCAAGTCATACATTTGGTAAGGGCTTAATATATATTATATATATAATAATGTATATAAAAATATATAAAGAACTCATACAACTCAATAGCAAAATATAATTCAATTAAAAATGAGCAGAAGAACTGAATAGACATTTTCCAAAGAAGACCAACCAGATGGCCAACAGACCCATGAAAAAGTGCTCAGCGTCACTCATCGTCAGGGAAATGCAAATCAAAACCATAGTGAGCTATCCCCTCACATCTATGAGAACAGCTATCAGCAAGAAGACAAGAGATAACAAGTGTTGGTGAGGGTGTGGAGCAAAGGGAACCCTGGTGCACTGTTGGCAGAAATGCCAATTGTTTCAGCCACTGAGGAAAACAGTATGGAGGTTCCTCACAAAATTGAAAACAGCATCCAGCAGTCTCTATTCCGTGGTATTTAGCTGAAGGAAATGAAAACAGGATCTTGAAGAGGTATCTGCACTCCCATGTTCATTGTGTCATTGTTCACAATAGCCAAGATATGGAAGACCCTAAGTATCCATCAGTGAATGAGTACATAAAGATGTAACATGTAACACACACACACACACACACACACACACACACAGAGGAATACTATTCAGCCGTGAAAAAGATGGTAATCCTGCCATGTGTGACCACGTGGATGGGTCTTGAGGACTTTATGCTAAGTGAGATAAAAGTCAGACAGAGAAAGACACATACTATATAATATTACTTTTACATGGGATCTAAAAGAGCCAAACTCAAAGGAACAGAGAGTAGGGTGGTCGTTAGCAGGAGCTGGGGGCAGGGGTGGAAAAATGGGAGCGATATTGGCGAAAGGGTATAAGCTTCCAGTGATAAAATTAATAAGATCCAGGGATCTAATGCACAACATAGTGATTACAGTTAATCATACTGTATCACATACTTGAAAGTTGCTAAGAGTAGAGCTTAGATATTCTCATCACAGGAAAGAAATGGTAACGGTGTGATGTACTGTAGGCATCAGGGAACCCTGCGGTAATAATCATTTTGTAGTATGTGAGGGTATCCCGTTAGCACATGGTATAGCTTAAACTTACACAAAGTTTTATGTCAATTATATTTCATGAAAGCTGAAAACGATTTTAAAAATATGCATCATTCCTTTATCTCTTGATGGCTGGCCCCACTGCGAGGTGAGCGGGCCCCAGAGTACAGTGGAGTCTATAGATTTGTGCCAACTATGGGATGCAATGCCTGGGTTTAATTCCACTTCCTGAAAGCAAGACTGCTATCGACTGAATGTTTGTGTCCCTCCAAACTCACATGTTGAAGTCTGAACCCCCAGTGTGATCGTACTATGAGGTGGCAGCTGTGGGAGGTGATTAGGTCATGAGTGGGAGCTCTCGTGACTGGGGTTAGTGCCCTACCTATGCGGCCCCAGAGAACCTCCTCCCCCTTCCACCATGTGAAGACACAACAAGACAGTTGTCTATGAACCCAGACAGGGGGTTCTCACTAGACACCAGATCTGCTGGACACTTGATCTTGGACTTACAGTCTCCAGAGAAAGAAATGTGTGTTGGTTTTAGCCACTCGGTCTGTGGTATTTTTGTTACAGCCGCCTGAATGGACTGAGAGCATGACATTTGCTGGATGCCCAACCTCTCTGTGCCTCAGTTTCCTTTTTCACACATTGTGACAGAATGCACTCACCTAATAAATTGTTGTGAGGATGGAATGGGGGAGACCCACCTAAAAATGCTAAGCAAGAGACCTACTGTGCACCAGGTCCTGTGCTCAGCTCATCTTTATTGCTTCTTGATTCCGTTTACTCCCCCCCACCCCCAATCCCATGATGGAGGAGACTTGAGGAGGACCCGTGCTGTGTTGACCCCTCTAACCCTGAAGCCTGGCACACAGTAGGCCTTCATAAACTCTGTGAGGTCGAAGTGCATGGGGCCCTTTGGGGGGCCTCCCTCCATGGTCTCTTAGGACTTTTGGATGCAGGCTACAGTTAACCCAAGTCTCATTGGGATCAAAGGTCACTAGGGGAGTTATTGGCTGGTCCTTGCAGAGCTAGGTGGCATTAATTCTCACCCCTGAATGTCTGAGATGGGCTTAGAAATCATAAATGGGGCTTTCCTTAGGTCCGTTTTCTTGAGTCAGTCGGCGCTGTCCATGGTGCTGTCTATGATGTGGACTGAGAGCCTTTGCGGATGAGGAGGCTGTGAGTGCCTCCAAGGGAAACCGAGGCCTTCTCGCCTTCTGTTTGCTTGCTTCCTGGTGCCTTTAGAACTTGTCTGGCAGGGAGGCTGGGCACTGAGCACGTGCTGGCAACATGATTATTAACTGAATTCAGGCCCGTCGACAGGTAGAAGAGGGTGTGAGGATTTGGGGATGGTTAGGGGCAGGTGACGGGGACTTCCCCCAAATTAGTGCAGAGATGGAGGCCCCACTAATTTCTGCAACATGTCATGGTGGCACGATGAGTCCAGTAAGGTGTCTGGAGCCTGTGGGCTGTGCTAGAGCACCAGGCTGGCTCTGTAGCTTCTGCCCTCCCGGCTTAGGTAAGCCTGAGGTCTCCACACACATGCTGGGGCACTCCCACGGGGCTCCCTCCAGATCTCTGGCCAGTCCTCCTTCTCAGTCCTTC